AACTTCTTAGAAAACTTTTTTAAAACCCAACTCTCATGCCATTAGAAAGAGGATCATGAAAAACCTATAAAAAGATGGTTCATGAAATTTTAGTTCACTCATAAAGCTAAAGTCCGCTTGCGCTAGCAAAAAATGCCCACTGTGTAGATGGTCGCACTCCTCTTAAAACACTGTAGGCAATTTCTGTTTCTGGAAAACTAACTATCAAACGAGCAAAAAATAGGATGAAACTAGGACCAGAAAAGATCTGGGGCGATTATGCACGATTCTTGCAGAAACTTATCTCGACTAAGTAGGATTCTTGTAGAACCGGTCTGCATAACAGGATTTGCGACGCGACTGATCGCGACTCTTGCTAGCTCGTGTCGCGATTTTACAAACAAGGCAAGACTCGTGCCGCGAGAACGCAATTTTCTTATGCAACTAGCAAGATCTTGTCGTTAGAATCACTATAGCAAGACTTTATAGCGACCACTAAAAATGCGTCTTATTTCGCGAGTCCTATACTAATTGTACTTTGGACTTTTACTTAAGTATAATTACTTAGGTACATTTGTACTAAGTATCGGTACTTCAGTACATTTGTAGTCGAATAACAATATCATGCACTAATATACTAAAAAGGCATGCTAAGGTATAACTGTGTATGGAGTTTATTGGGTATTGTTTAGATTTATCATATAGTTTTCAATATGTACTAACCTTCTGCTAATAGACTTACCTTTGTCTTTTATCATTGGATCCTGGTACTGAATTAGAAATTTATTTAAATGATCCAATGAGAGCCAAATTTTCAGAATAGTGGTTGGCTTGTCGATTGAGTTTTTTGAAGAAATTAGTTGTACGTATTTTTTCTGTTTGTACAGAAAAAATACTTACGTAGGACAAAATCCACGTGAAAAATCCACTGACCATTTGCACTGCCTACAGAACGAAAGAACGTCTTGTAGCGGTTTTATTCACTGTAAGAAACACATGCTAACGCTTCCATCCTTTAACGCAAGATCGATTTTTTTTACTGCAAGATCTTGTTTCTTGTAGTGAAGCTTGTTACAGCAAGAAGTGATAAGAAAAATGTTCTTGCTTTCTTGCACAAGAAAGATACCCTAGCAAAAGTTTTTGAAGCCAAGAAAGCAAGATTCTGGGATATTTCTTGGCCAAGAAATGACTCTTGAGCTTTCTTGTGCATTTCTTGCGGTAAGAAAACCAATTCCTGAGCAAGAATGAACATATACATTTTCTTGGATATTTCTTGCTGCAAGTAATCATGCTGTTGCAAGAAAATCTATTTTGACGATTATATGCAAGAAAGTCATTTCTTGCAGTGAGAATACGCTTCTTCTAGGTTAATAAAATCAACAATCGTTCATTGAAGATCACATCTTACAAAGATGGTACCAGCGGACAGAATGTGCGAAATTTCATATCTGTCATTTTTGGCTGCGGTACCAACTTTGCTAAATGTTTTCCTCACGATGAAAAGTGCTAATTATCAAAATTAGCGTTTCGCTAACTATGAGTTTTTCGTAAAATGCATGGGTTCTGTTCGATGCGGAAACAAATTCTGAACATATTTTGTTCCAGCCATTTTCTCTAAGCCCATAGTATATGCGTATTTGCGTACTATGTGAAACATGACATTAAGAAAGAGAACGTACTTTAATAATGCTTTAACTTTTCTTTCTCTTTTTGTCATAATCCTTAACAGGTCAGTGGAAGTTTCAAGGATAAACGGTATATTCTCAACAATGGTGGCTGTAAAAGCTTCATTTGCTCCTTATAAATGTAACTGTTAACATTTAGATATAAGTTTTTAATTTATATCACTACAGAATGTCTTCTAAGAAAGTATCTAATTGAAAGGTTTTCTTCTATTTTATAATTTTACAAATTATACAGAAAATATTTTATTCACGAATGAAACGGTATCAGAAATAGCAACATTACTTCAATATAACTTAATAACTACAGAATGAACAAACATCGTTGAGTGAGTTATAAGGTAGATGCATGTGAGAAAAGGTGAAGGAGTATCTGTCTATGATATTATTATATGGTCTTTTCTTTTGTCACGAGTACCGATTGTGCGTTGATATTTTTTTCTCAATTTTTAACTTTATTTATATATACTCCGAAAAACAAATACGTTGTAATTAGATAAATGTAAAACGATAGAATAAAAAATGCTGCATTGATATCTTTCAAATGAAGTGTTCGTTTAACGTACTAATAATTTCTTAACAGCTTTGCCAAAAATCGTGTCTGAGTAAGTTATTTCTATCCCACAATATGCGTTTTACCACATAGAAGAAGCAGCAGACGATGATGATGATATTATTTTCGTCTATGAACGAAGCTTTGGATATATTGAATATTCCGCCTAACGTCAATGGCACTAGGATGGGTAGGTCCCACTGTCTGGTGTAAGATAGCAGCAGCTTTTTCAAAGTATGAAAGCGCTTGTGGAAGGTCGCGTTTGTCAACATAAATACCACCCATATTATTGTATAGAGCTGCAATGTCAGGATGTTGAGAAGGAAGAGATTTTTGGTAGATTTTCAGTGCTTGATTGAAATGTACTAATGCAAGATCAGAGTTATGAAGATGTACATAGGTAGCTGCAATATTGCCGTGAGATCCGCCCAGCAAGTGATGATTTCCATGAAGATGTTTTTTTTGAATGTCCAATACTTTCTGTTGATAACTAAGTGCTTCCAAATATTTCTCTTGTTTAACATGGACAGCTCCAATATTACTGAAAACTTCGGCCATTTTGTTGTGATCTTCACCGTATGCCTGTCTATATATTTTCAATGCCTCGTTATAAGATTCAATCGCTCGCTTGTATTCACCCTTGTGAAAGTAAGCACCTCCGATCAGATTATGAATGTCTGCGATGCTAGGATCGTTTGATCTTCTTAATTGCAATCTGATTTCAAGCGCTTTGTGATGCAGATTGAGACTCTTGTTGAAGTCACCTTTTTTGCTTGCCACATTACCAAGATTCACATAGTGAACACTGAGATTGTAAGCTAAAAAAATAATAATTAAAATTAGTCTTTTTGAAGAGAAGAATTATACCATTAGTTTCTTCCGTGTGATGATTAGGAGGTGATTCATCGAGCGAACGTTGAAGGTAGCTTTCTGCTTTATCAAATTTTCCCATATTCGCGAGTACAATACCAAATACACCAGCATTGGTATTTCCATCATCATGATAATCGGCCTTCATTTGCTCGAAGATCGGTTTAACATCATCATCATTCTCACTGCACAATACCAATTGAATGATACATAATGGACCTTCATAACGAATGCGAACAAGTCGAAAGATCGATCCCAGCATCATCAGTACTTCTTCTTCATCTTCAATATAACTAAATGGAGTGATGTTAGCAAAAGGTTTAACTCCATCGATCCGAGGATCAGCTTCAATCTCGAACAAGACTGGTTGCAAATCCCCATCTAACACTTCGATGTCACCTAGGAAAAAAACAGCCATTTCACGATCAAGTGTCGTGGAAAGAAATGAATTCATGGAAATCAATTGTCCTCTGAAATTATTTAACTGTTGAACTTCCATTTTGGACATTAATTGACTTCGATAGATACGAATCGGTGACGGACATCGATATTGTTCAAGTTGCTCTCGAAGATCACGAATAAAGAATCCAAGTAAATAAAGTAAATCAATGTCCAGTGTACGAAGAGCTTTGTTCAATAAATGATAAAGAAAACATTCTCGTGTATACCA